CCTAGGACGGCACTTGCGTATCACTACTCTCCAGCTCAATTTGCTCGCACGTTTGAGCGGAGAAAATGGCGCGTTATTGTAGCCACGGGTCAGTCACCTTGCACAGAGTAAGAATCGCGAGTCGAAGGCGAGTGAACAATTTGCTTTCAAGCCACATATCCTGGGGGTAAACCAGTGCAGCGCATGCGGCAGAATCCGCAGTGCCGCATCGCTGCAAAGTAGATTTCCGGTACCACGCCCCTAGACTACAGTTACAGCATTAGGCAGCGTTCACACTTCGCGACGGGGCGCTTCGGTCGCGCGTTCGGGCAATCGATCGCGCCTCGTACGATTGCGTTGATCGCGGGCGCGATCGATCGCGCCTCGTACGACTGCGTTGGTCGCGGGCGCGATCGATCACGTCGCTAGTGCTAGCTTGCGAGTGTGTAGCGCGACTGACTCGATCGCGCTCCAATGCAAAAATCGATAGAAAGGATGCTGACTCACCGCCATTTTCGCTTACTCTTTCCTCCTTTCTCCTCCCATTAGCTTCTCGCATGTTTTTTCACCTACCTACCATACACACTATCTCTTTAATCTGTTCCTAATGTTTGTCGGCTATTATGCTTGTTTACCTTTACCATATTGAAATTTTCAGATGCTTTAGAACTTTTTGGATGGACGGCCGTGTTGAGTGCCTGCAGTTTCCTGTAGTTTTGGTTATATTTTTATTCTTATTTTTTTGCTGAACTGCTGAATTGTCGTCCACCCTAAACACAACATGATTGATATGAATCAAAAATAAAGGAAACCCGAAGAACCCAACTAAAAAATATATAAAGGGCGCGAAGTCAACGCGGCCGTCCATCCGAAAAATTCCAATACCTGACAATTTAAATATGTCAGAGGGACACAAGCAAATAACCGATAAACATTCAGAACAGATCAAAAAAAATAGTGGTAAAAAGATGAGAAAACAAGCGAGAAGCTAACGGGAGAAGAAGGAAGGAAAAAGTAAGCGAAAATGGCCGTGAGTAGCCCAATCGTACGGATTAGCTACGCCACCGATCGCGCCCGCGACGCAGACGTGCGAGGTTATGGGGCTGTTGTCAACCAGACGTGCTTTCGCTGCGAGGGACCAAGGGTATTTTTTCGGGGCATCTACTAGCCCAGCAGCTGAAGGGGAGAAGTTAAATGAAGAGAGAACAGAGAAGGAAGGAAATAAAGGAAGAAGGAAGAAATAAGGGAAGAGAAGGGAGGCTCGTGGTTGACAAATGCCCTGAGACGGACGTCGTGCGAGCGCGCGATTCACTGTCCGAACGCACGGCCGAAGCGCCGCCGTCGCCTGAACGCTGCCTTACTTCGAATGCACAGAATATAAAAAATATATTAGGCCATCCCTTTCGAAAATGTGAGAGATATAGAGAAACGGCAGAAAAGCAAACAAAAGGGATGCGGCAGCTGTCTACTATAGGGATCTACCTAACTTAATGTTGAAATATTACTTTTTTATCTGTTCTTCTCTTCGTTTTATATGGATAAAGCCTTACATTTTGGATGAGATGACCTAATAATAATAATAATAATATAATAATAATAATAATAATAATAATAATAATAATAATAATAATAATATGCAGGTTACTGCACTACTTACTACCAACCCTGAGCATTCCTTTGTACTTGGAGAGTTGATTTCCAGCTACCTCTCTGTATTTCGTCCAACCTTCATAGTCAGGTATTTATCTAACTCCACCTCGTCCTGTTCATCATTGTTCTTCGGACATCCTCAATACGTCTTCAATAGCTATTGCTATGTTATACCTGTTACCCAGTATTGAAATTTTCAGATGCTTTAAACTCATTAATTGACGGACGATGTTGAGTGCCTCCAGTTTCCTGTAGTTTTGGTTATTTTTTTATTCATGATTTTTTTATGTGAATTGATGAAATAGTCGTCCACCCTAAGACACAACTATGAATTTGATATGAACAAAAATAAAGGAAACCGAGAACCCAACTAAAAAAATATATAACCGCGCGAAGGTCAACGCGGCCGTCCATCCGAAAAATTCCAATACCTGACAATTTAAAATATGTCAGGGGACACAAGCAAATAACCGATAAACATTCAGAAATCAGATGTACAGAAAAAAGATGAATAGGAGTGGATGAGAAAAAGACCGAGACTGACCAAATGTGGCTAAACGCAAGAGTCTTCTGAGCATTATAAGCACAAGCCCGTAGCAACGGTATACCTCACGTGAGACAAAGCTAGAGCAGGACTGAGACCAAGGTGAAAGGAAGAGACACGGCCGTGGGATACTGTCCTCCAATACGTGTAGACGGCCGCGATTTAGCCGTACGCCCACGGGCGTCGGGCCACTTTCCCTTGCTGGCCTCTAGCCCACGATTGACGCAGACCCGTGCGAAGGTTTATGGGCTTAAGATTGGTCGCAAACGGATAAAGAGCACTCTAATTACAGAAGCGAACATCTATATTGACTTGTGTATCAAGCGTGCCGAGGCAGACTGTGAGCCATGTGGCGACCAGGTCAATCATTTTATCTCGCCGGTGATGTGAAAGGGGTAAGTGTAGTTCTTCTAGCAGCATTCCCCGCTCTTATCTGTTAAAGAAGGGTAGAGAATTAAAGTCATAAAAGCAGCGAGTACAAAGCAAGTAACGCATAATCGACACAAAGGATAGGAGATAAAGCGCTAGAAAATAGCCTATTAGAAGGACCAAGAAAAGGCGATAGTCCTTCCGTGGTCATCTACATAGCTCGTCTTTCAAGCCTTGAAGACGAAACGTTCCGTACACAGCACGAGGCATATGAGGCCAGAATTCCACTGCGCCTCGTAGGCGCAGCTGGCTCCCGCCGAAAGCGCCCGCCCCGTCGCCTGAAACGCTGCCTTACTGCTAAATCGCACCAGATCAAATAAAAGAGAACAATAAATATTAGGCGCTTCAGCGCCGTTTTTATGCCCTTGCGAGTGGCACAATACCTCTTGGTATCCGATAAAATAGTCGGAGAGATAATTCGTCGGAGAACGATGCCAGAGAAAAAGATAGCAAAATAGGCCGCACTGTTAAAAATCAAGGGCAAGACTGTGAGAGCCTGAAGGTGCATGCGTACTCTCTATCTCTGGGAGTATATATTTAAGGTACCCTTGACATCTAAACTTAGTGTGTCTGTGAAAGAAGTCCTGAGTTCTCAACCTACAGACTTTCTGATATACAGCCTGTTTCTCCTTAGACTTGGAATATTCCATCGACCATTTGAGACCTCTGTTCCAGTATGCCCGCACGTTCAAGCTGAACATCTTTTGAAAGCGTGAAAAGAATAAACTCCTAATAATATAATAATAATAATGAAATAATAATATAATTTAATAACATAATAATGCAATAATAATAATACTTAACGAGAGAGAGAGAGAGAGATGGCTCATGCCATAGTAATAGTAGAGCACCGTTAAACTTTTAGCACCGACTGCGATCGAACCTTCCTGTTACCAATTACACACCATGGCACCATTGCTATACTTTGTAAGAGTTGGAGTATCCTTAGCCACGTAACCATCTCCTTACTATATCCGACCCTCCACCCCCCCCACTCAACTACTCATCGTAATTACTAATCTAACCTCCCAGCATGTCCCCTGTTCATCATTTGTCTTCCGGAATCCTCATACGTCTTAAATAGCTTTGATTCCCCTGAAAATCACATCCCACTAACAGAACAGGTTGCAATCAGCTCTGATTTTACTGGTGTACTTCAAAAAGTAGTGGCTAAGCAAGGCGGCAAAAATGTCGCATGGAAGAAGTTTATATGAAAAATTTTTGAGGCTAGGGTCTGGAGATACCAGCTTCAGCAGCTTCTTTACCCAAGCAGTTGGATCCTTAGGCGGATGCCGCGCACGCAACTCAGGTCTTAAGGCAAATGTCGCCCCTTCCTCCTTCTCCGCAACCTCCATATCGCAGCGAGTTGGTGTTATTTCCAATGCTTGTCAAGGTCTGCTGTACGCCTGGAAAAGAGCAGACAGCTGCTTCTTCTTCTCCTTGAGCTAGCACTACATTACCAGTGTACAGCATCGGGATGTATGAAATGGCGGTGTCAATGTGACAGCCTCCCAGTGGGGGATTCTACTACGACTCCCCACCGGCTCTGACTGTTGGCTGTAATGAAGAGGATCAGACATGTGACGATCTGCAAGCATTCGCGGCGCGTGGCGATTCCAGCGCAAGTTAGCGCTGGAGCAGACTTGTCAATACAGAAACCGCAATGCTTCTGACTCTGCAGAAACCACAGTACCGCAGTACAGAAACCTCTAATGTAATAATTTTTTTCAGGTTGAGGGATTTTACGGAATGGAGGGCAGCATATTTTAGCTATGAGCTGCTTTTATGTTTTAAATGTAAATATCCCCTTTGGTTGTTTGGTGAATACTTTGGATGAGTTTTAGATGGGTTACGTAAAGCGCACGCGATCTTTAATGATTCAGATGACAATAACGTTTTTCATGCGCGATCTTTTCCAAAATTGAAAAAATATTTACAAAGCTCAAGATTAGGTAGTTCTGAAGATATTTCAGATGGCTTCCTCATGGGCGAAATCCTAAGTCATTCGAAAGCAGATCCTTATATGTCTTCAATATGAATATTGCCAAGCAGATGTCTTCAGAGAGTTCGCAAAGCTCGATTCGAATGAACTTGTTTATTCGAATGAACTTGTTTGAGTTGTATCGTTTAGTGAATTCGTGCTAACTGTTTATATTGTTAGTTATTCGTTTTGATGTTTTCTAGTCTTCCACACACCTCTACCGCGCTAGTTCCACTACACTTGGCGATGACAGTTGTGCGCTGTTTGCTGCTCATCTACACTGATCACGACCCCTACCCCTCCTTAGCGGCCAAGTACGACCCCCTCAATGGTCTCGCAACGGTGCTGTACCCAATCACACCTATGCACGCAACCAGCGTGGAGTTCAATCAAAAGACTTCAAATAACCCTTCATTTTTAACAGCTGAACAACCCTCTAGCTATCAAAACGGCAAATTCATCCACTATCTTCGAAACGCACCTATTAATTCGACCCATCAGTCTAGGGCTCCTGTACGTGGGAGCGTAACTATTGCCGAAATGAAAGTCTGGCCGGCGATCGCTTTTCTCCGGCGGGATCTCTTTGCCGCTTTCCTCATCTGAACCAAGTCTACAATAAATTATTAGTAATACTGCTGTGAGAAACTCAAAGCTAAGCGGTGTTTAGAAGTGGACCGAATAACTTTTGAACCAACATGGGCGTATGTCTACAACTACCGTACGGCGAATGCAAGTCCTGGTTATACGAGAAGTTCAAGACAGTGACGATATATTTGAGATGGAATCTTCATTTTATCATAACAATGAAGCAGAACAGTAAAGTATTTAAAGATTCCCCATCCAATATACCGATCTTTTCTTGTGGCAGCGCACAGTAGATAATAGATGCCTTCCTTCCCGAGCGCGGCTAGCTGAGCCTCGGAGAATACTTCTAATAGTTTCTTCTCGATGTCATGATTTTTCCGAAATCTTTGCCATCCAAATGGAGCTGCAGCTTCGAAAGCAGGTGGTAGTCAGAAGGTGCGAGATATGGAGTTTGGCTTTCGTAGCTGAGTAATGAAGACGTGCGCCGTCCTTGCCGCTCCTTCGATTAGTACTCCACGCCAGAAACGCACCATCATTTGCACAGCATCACGTTCTCCAAGTGACATTTGGAAGTTGGCACGTCTTCTACCTTTCACGCTTCGTCAACCTCTGGTCACGACGGTGTACGCTACAATATTCACTTCCAATCTTCAATGACAGGGTTGTCGAGCCACGCAAAAGTGCGCTTCAGGGTGAGAAGAGTGAGCGCCACATCTACCCTGTGACCATGTCGTGTTGCGTCAATGCTTGGGGTGACCATTTCCCTGATTTTCGGAACATATCAACCGAACTCAATACATGTACTGAGGTTGGTCGTGTGAAAAACACCAAGACTCGGCAGCCTACAAGTCCTCCTCCACACGGTTCCACAGCAATCGCAAATCCACTGTCACTGGTCGCCCAAACCTGTCCTCATCTTGGATGAAGAACTCTTTCTTCCTGAACTTGCTAAACGAACGGTAGATACGTATTCGGCTGGGAATGTTCCCCTTATGACTTCCAGTAGGCGTGGATGGCACATATCAGGGTATAGGCCAGACAGGTGCTGGAACAGCATACAATGGCGAAAAATGTGTTAGATGGCACAAACTGCAAATGCACAACAGAGGCCATTTGCTATACTTCAGTTAATACTCCATGCAGCTTCAGAGCCCCTTTTCTCCTCTATCGATTGACTACTCACTTGTCTTAATCAATATGTAAGTGGGCTAAAGAAGCGAGATCAAAGCCTTATGGTCACAAATATACCATTACTTTCTTTTGATCTATTATATACCGGCGGCGCCCCTGAAGAGCATGAAATACAGTTTGCAATTGATTTCCTGGTGCAGAAGAAAGCAAGAAGACTGCCAAGAAGTACTTATTGAGCCTTCTAATTTACAGTCCCCATTCACGCCAGATAAGGAGGAACTGCGAGTAGGGGACAGAGACCAGAGTCAAAGCATGAAAACACAGGACGGAGAGCAAGATGACAACCACGACTGCACACAGTTATAAACCCATTAGTGTCAAACTCTGGGACTGATCAACAAGTGCGGGGCTACTATGGTGGAGATAGTACCCGTCTCATCGTCACTAACTTTCGAAGAGCGAATGTGGTACAAAATCCATGATCACTGGACTAGGCAACCTTGTGCGATGAGGTATTCTACCTATGAGAAACAGCAAAACGTGTCTTCAATGATACTATGGACGATACAAGTGCTCACTGATAAGCGACAACATTTCCATTAAAGTGAGCCCGCACCTACTGTCCAGACCGTTATCAGCATCTCGGGCGACAGCCCGGTTTTTGTGAAATCGACTGCTTGGGAAATTTTCTTCGCCAGTCTCTGACATACCTGAAATTGCAGTGCAGAAATTACACAGCATATCGAGCATGCTCTTGATGATACAGAAAAAGGACAACTTCTTACAAATACATGCTGCTCCGTTACTCTGTTACGGCGCTGTGTACTTACCATATATTTCTAAACAGGTTCTTTGTAGTTCTAACTGACGGTTCACTTACTTAGAAAATCTATAATATACGCGGTTCCCGGGTTAGAAGGCTCCCGAAGATGCTTTCACAGAGGTATTCTCTCTTGGTAACTACTGGCTCAGCACTTGAAGGGAGAAGGCAAGGAGGGAAGAGAGAAGGAAGAAAAAGATGGAAGGAGGAAGCAAGCAGCAGTGAGGTTCCGCAGTTGACTATATAGTGAGACGCGATTGCCTGGTTGCGGTCGACGAGTAGTTTCCCGCCAAAGGTTGTTGTTGCTAACAAAGATCAACCAACAGCGAAGGATGCGCACATCACCTGGGATCCCATTTCCCTGAGAGCTATAGAAGGCAGCTTCAGTCACTACCGATCAATCGTAATATCGTAGCAGCCGTAGTATTAGTTTCGCTCTTATCATTAGCTTGGCAGTCTGATTGACTCCGCCCATATTCAGCCTTCCTGTGACAATCTTCAAAGCATGGTCAACGCAAAACAAAACGGGGACGACAGGGCGATTGATGGCAAGCGACATGTCGGCGATCTAGCGACAACTTTCCTACTCGTCTGCGCCCTCCGATCGAGATTGTGTTCGTTAAGTAATCCTACTTCCAATAACAGGCCTCAGAGAGCGCGAAGAAGAGTGGGTGTGGCGTCGCAGGGTGACTTTCTTCAACTACTTTGGCGATAAATACGAGACTCAAACTTACTGGGTTACAATAATAACGCGTAAAGGGCTAGATATAACAACGTACTTTCGAATTGATGCCGTAAAGATCCGCATTGAAAAGGAATGAATTCGAAATTTTGCCCACAGAATCTTGAGTGACATAGGTGATGTAAAATTTAACCATATCATCATTCTGAAGAGAGGAATCTAGGCAAATCAAACAGACTACAAACAAATCAACTGAGAAATCAACTTACTATTTTCTTCACGTCAACAGGCAAGACTTCCGCTTTTTCGGGAGTGTAGTTGAATGCCTTTTCATTACGATCCAACAAGAGGTCTTGGTCCCAAATCACAGCGTATTCATCTCCATCCAAATCAGAGCCTATGAAGATGTCAAACAGTTGAACGTAACCACAAAAATATCATTACTCAAAGATTAGTGGCACGTCGTATGCTGGGGGTCATTAAGAAGGGTCGTATTGAGTTAGAGGGTAGCGGGGTTGTATTTAAAAAGTGGAGACTCACTTTTCATATACGAAACAGGTGATACAAAACGTGTTCAGCGGCGCCTCAGGGCGATATCCTCCCCCTTCCTACCCGCTCCTCACCATTACATGCATTTAACAAGGGAAGGATATCAATCATTGGCCGTTCGAGATGAGATGTACACCGTTCGAATGGTTTTTGGACGCATGTCAAATCTGAGTTCTAAATTTGCTATTCTCTAAGAGAAAAGTTACAGACCTTTTTCGCCTGTGGTTAACAGTTGCGGTGGAACCCTTCCTATGCTTTGCGCTTGTTAACCTCTCGCGACACGGCTGCTGGTGTGGCTCGATGGCGCAGCAGATAGATGAACGGGCTCATGGCAATGAGAGCTAGGGTCGGAGCTCTTTGATTCTGCTTTTTCTTGAAAGGTATGCTAATAACTTGGGAAAAAGTTTTGTATGCTAATAACTTGGAAAAAAGTTTTATGTACCAATTCCACCATCGAGGCTCTTTGCTGCTACTTATTGAGCCTTGTGATTTATATTCGGGAAAAACTGTATTATCAGCTATTAGCTTGGAAAAAGAGCGATATACCACAGTTTCCAACCAAATTTTCCCTCACTAAGTGACACCTCCATCCTACAGAGTAAACACCATTAATAACAAGAGCAAGTGTCCACCTTTCTCGCGGCTTCTCGATCCCACTATTACAGAAACATGGCAAATGCGATGCAAAGAAGAGGTGAAACTCATTTTCCAGTAGACGTCGATTTTCGGAATTTTGGCCATCCAAAGAGTGCAGTAGGTACCAAAGGAGGTGGCAGTTAGTAGCTACTGTGTAGCCGTTGTGAAGAAGTTGAGTGCAGTTGCATTCCCTGACCGAGATCCACAATCGTTTGGTTTAGCCCATCACCACATGTGGTTTTCGCATTCGCAGAAATAGAGAGAAACTGAGCGTTCCTGAGTGGAATCAGGATCATCGAGTGACGAACGAATCAAATGAGATCATGCATCAGCATGTTTCGAACTCAATTATAGCAGACTGTAACCGTCTTTGTATGAGCATCCAGCGACATTGCTTAAAGATCCCACCATTACCACAGTAAAATCGTTTTTCCATACACTTCTGCTTTCGACCAACCGGGCGGTATTACTCCTCGAGACATACTGTGAGGGTTGCACGATGCGCAAAATGGAACAAAAGTGTGCGACAACCTCATCATCGGGGAAAATAGCTTCGTAGAAGACAGCCATATTAATCCCCTCTGTCGCCCGATTATGAGAAGAGTGCTTGAAAGTTTTGATTGACTCATTCATGGGTTTCAGTTTTGTATAAGTCCATAGCATAGCAGGGCATGGTTCAGGAGTATGAAGTCATAGCCCTCTACATGTCTAAAGCAAAGAAAAGACTTACGTCTTCGTACATGTTTTGCTTTATTGCTACCGAATACCTTCTGCGGAAGTTGAGAGAATTAGAGGAAAAAGTGAGAAGATGAGCGATCCACCCTTAGAGCTTTTATAAATTCTTATTATGTGTCAATATGCCATTTTGTATAAGAATATCTTATGTGTTTGTTTGATGTTTCACTGGTTACAACAATTTATGCCTCAAATAAAGCTGTCATAACAACACTGTCAATTCCATTGCTTTCACTGAAGTCTCAATGAAATTACTCTCGAAAATCATTCACAGGGCTCGATGAGCAGCAGTGAGGGGAACTGGTATGTAGTACTTCCCAGGTGCTTAGCATACTTTTCGAGAAGAAGCGAAATCACAAGGCGCATCAAGGTAAGATGCAAGGTAAGATGTGGTAGCAAATGTAAGGATGGAACTTCTGATATCGTTACTTCGACCCGTAATCAGTGTCTCTATCACTGAATACATCTCTATAATTTGGTAGTGTGAAATAAAAGCTTTACCACCTGAACCCTTTGGGTGGTGTACCCATTTCACTCTCTATATCACTCACTGGAATCAAAACCTGGTTGATGCCGGCTCTAACTATTTGCTCTGGCGAGTTGCATTAAACATGTAAGGACTCGCAAGCTTGCGGCCGTTATGATACCATGGCGAATGGGCGGTGGGACACATCTATTGGCCAAGTGGAAATCGCGGGGCTTCTTCTGGAGTGACATCTTTCTGTGGGTGTCAAGCTTTTGTGAAACGGAAGGCGGTGGAGCAGTGTCTGTAGTGTTGCGTTTTCTACCTACTCACACTCGTTCTACCGTTTTCTACCTCTTCCCTCGTTCGTGAAATATTAGGTTAAGGCGCTATGCTATCGCTATCCGATAATGGCGCTTTTTCTCACACAGAGTTTAAGGTGAGAATTGTTTTCAATGTGTTTCATTTCGTTTGATAGACAATTTTCTGCATTACAACAAAGTATAATTGTCCTTTTAGTGTTTCTGCCGATTTTTATTTCATTGAAGAGGAGTGGCGATCGACGCAAATGTGAGTTCTTGACAAAAACTTTTTGAGCTCTAGGCTCTCAACTTCCGGAAGAAGATCAAAACTTGTGATATATGTGATCAGAGAGGAAGTTACTTCTTATGACGACTTGAAGTAGGTTCAGGCAATTGGGAGATGGGAATCCGGACATTGTAAATGTACACTGCCTAGGGCGCGCTCTTGTGAATGAACTGTTTGAACCTCCAGAACCAAGTTTTGAACCTCTCCCATCGACTGAGAGTGGTGCTCAATGATGATGTGGAAGCAATCCATTACCTCTAACAATACTCTTTGGCATGGATTTTCTGCTGATCCACTATGCTGTCAGTTGCACTCCATGGGGCATCAGCTTCGAAGCGTGTCTGTAAGGTTGGAATGATGTGCCTATTTCACGCTCTATATCCTTTACCCCTCTATATCCTTTTACCTTAATCAACAACTAGTTGTTGCTGCAGGGTGCACCATCATGATGTGTGAAATGGCGGAGTACGTTGCCCCGGAAAAGGATCCTGTTCGACCCTCACCTTTCTCGCTGTTTGTTCTTACGAGAAGGATCACATACGCAAAGACGCTCAAGCGCTTGCAGCCACGTTAGGATCCATGGCAAATTAGCGGTGGAGCACATCTGTTGGCCAAAATCGCGGGACTTTTTCTGAGAGTGTTGCTTTTTGAAGTGTGAGGCTTTTAAGAGACAGAAAACGGCATGTTGAAGAAATGTCTCTACTATTACGTGTTCTAGCTTTCCGTTATCCGAATGCTCCTTCCGTGAAATATTTCGAATGGGTTACGGAGGCGCTAGTGGTAAATCGCGAGCGGGTTTTTATGCTTCAGACGAAAATAATTTCTTTTGATCGCAATCTTTTGCAAAACTAGAAACGCCGTCGGGACGCCCGACATTTCCTCTTAGCAACATGCTCTACAGTTTTTCTGAAGGCCCACTAGTTTAACACGTTGGCGACATTGCGTCCCACTGCTGGGACGCACCTTTCTTGCCGCGTGGGACATTGCGTCCCACTGCTGGGATGCGGCATGGGTAAAAAACCAATTTAAAAACGTTTCAAATTTTCAGCAGCTATACATTGTACAGGAAGGCATTGTAGAATGTACAGTAGCTGCAAACCTAGCAGTTGTATCATTGGGAGTATTTTACGGAGGATACAAAGGAAAGTGATTTCCTTAGGAAAAAAAGGTAATTTTTTGATAAATAGAACTCAAGCTCCACAAGTGGATAGCTAACGTAATAAAGTAACTTTCTACAATAGCAGATCTGGATCGAATCCAATTTACTGCCTCTGGCGCCAGAAAATCCCTTTCTTGCGGCCTCTTTCCCACGCTCTGCGTGTATGGGGCGGGAGTATTCCACAAAAATTAAGGGTTTACCGTGAAAGTAAAAAAAAACAGCAAAGTTCAACTAACTTCTGCATTGATTACTAGTCCTTCTGCAAGTGTTTTGGTGTGTGAACGCCCTAGCATTCATGCGTATTCCTCAAAAACAGGAAAAAATTGCTTCGTCCCACGCGGCAGACACGCAAACACCACACACCTCCCTACATTAACTCTTGGGAATAATGTCTCTCTGCTATTCATACGATAGATATGAATTCTCAACAAACACAGGGACGCACACGCACGCACAGACGTAGTAACGAATATCGTAGGATCGTAGATGCTGGATCTGTGCACCTTCGTCTGGAGAAACCAAAATAAGATATTCATTACCGGCCATTTCGTCAGGATGCGGTCTCGGTCCATGTATCGGGAAAACAACAACATCACATAAATGTCGTAAATCAGGAATGTCCACCGCATTAAATATACGGACATCGCCCTCGACAACACAAGGATTTTTCGTGAGCAGTACTTTACCTACAACGAACTCTCATAGGAACGCTGATTAAGGAATAATATCTCGAATAGTTATACATTTGCAACTATCACTCGCTTACCCGTTAGAATGTTTCTCGATGCATTTGGAGGGGGCGTCTTTAGGTTCATATTTACAGTGTACTGCACAAAAACTTGGCCATACTGCAGCTGCCCGGTCTCATCAACGACACCCAACATGGTACGACCTTTGTCATGCGGGATTTGAATCTGCTGTTTTCTTAATTGTCTAGCTGAAACACACACTACGATTAGAATAAACCATAGAATATACACTATTCACCCTTTACAGCCGAATCTCCCGACATAACGATAGTTCTTTTGACCAACTACTTTCTCGGAAGAAAGATTTGGCTAATGTCTTCGCTAGCAGCTTGACCTTCCAAATATCATTATCAGCTCCGCTTGGGTGGAAACTGCCTAGGACCCGTGTTTTACGTGCTGGAGCCAAAATATCCTCAATCACCAAATTCGATGAAAGCTTGTTGCCACAGGTAGTTTCACCTTGTGAACACGAATATCACACCCGCTAACACCCTGCAGCCCCCAATACAGGTGGCGGCACCATCCTGTTTTGACCCCGGCGCCGGTCAAAGCCGTCTTGCGCCAAATAGACCACGTTCGATTTCACGGGTCAATCCACCCATGAAGGCCAATTCCCAGAAAAACTGAACATTGAAGGCTAAGGCGAACATCGAAAGCTGTGCAGCAAGTATAAATAGTGTCAAGGACAAAAGAAAGCGAGCTGCATAAGAATTACTATGATGCTTTCTCGAATAAAGTCATGTTCCCACCGAAAATTGAAGCAGTATGCATACTGATTAGAAGAGAGGGAAAATCGAGGAGAAATCGATGAGTATCTAGTCCCCTTCGATTTTATGATTCCTCAGGTCGCAGAGTATGAACGCGACTCAACGTTATCAAGATTATATAATTGAATAAGCACACTTACTAACTGCAAATTTGATCGTAGCTTTGATAAGTGATCGGAAAAAAGGTTCAGTGCTAAGTTGAAAACCACAGACCACAGACAAGCTGTCGATATCTATACGGCGTGGCATTTCCTGATCATAGAAAAAGAAAACTCAGATCTCTAGACTTTTGACAGCAAAGAAAGTCACCTTAAGCTTGTTACGACAATCGTGTTCTCGCAGCATCGTCCTAGCCATTGCTCGTATTTGTAGGTCGAGCAGTTCTTCAATACGATTCGTTACCCGAACGTGACATGCATATGACTGCATTGCGGACACCTATCAAATTGAATACTTCACTTCCACGCTGTTGTTTTAGCAGGCGAAGAGGATATTCGGCGAGTAGAGGCGCGATGTGAAGACGGTGATTCCCTCCTCCTTGAAGTACCGCTGGAGACTACCTCAGGGTGATGCTGAGCTAATGATGCCAGCGTTACGCATGCGCGACAGATCAGGTGGTAACACCAAATCGTAACTATGGATCGGAAAGCTATTATTATTCTGATATTTGACCGCGCTCTGGTTGCATTCGCTGTCGGTCCTAGAGCGCAATGCTCGAGAACGGGAAACCCGCACCTACACTAATCTTTTTTCGTATAACAAGTGGTAGTATTACGCTCGCACAGAGCGGTCGCAGAATAGGTGGACCGCACGCCGCCATTCCTGAGCCATAGCGGTTCTCGTCTCAGTCTTTTACAGTCACCTCAGTCGCATATTCCTTGTGGTTTTCAGATATGTACTATTTGTCTGTATTGAATTATTCGTACTGTGCATAATTGTATGTGATATTATGTAATATAGTATAATATAACTGTAATCATTATATTATGTATATGTCTGTATTTTTATGAATGCTGCTGTTTGTGTTACAATTAGCTGTTACCAGAAGCAGTTTGACCTCCTGCACATGAATATCACACCTTGGCGCGACAGGCGCCAGCGCCAAAATACTCTAAATCGCCAGCTAGGTGAGAAATTGTCCTTATGGGTAGTCTGATCTCCTGAACACGAATAGCACATCTGCATGAGGTGCTGATGGGGTTAATGGTGGAAGAAAGGGGGTTCAAGGCTGAGCCTCAACTAAAGGAAGGAAACTATTGTACGCAGCAGAAGGGTACTGTCCCGTTTAGTCGTGTTTTTCTAAGTGCCCTAGCACACCGTCTTGCACGCAACAGCTAGAAGTCCGCCCTTTGATCAAAACAAGCACGCGGTGCAGTCGCCTGTACCTTGTGCGACTGGCAATTTTGCGGCGCTAAATGAGTGCCCCATTCGATCGATCGATCAGGACACCAAATAATCTCCATGTGCAAGTTGACACCAAATTTGGTGGCGAGGAGTCGCCACGAGCCAGCGCTACAAATTAATGCGATATTAGTGATAAGGGTATCAGATACTCGCTCTATACCAAATATTAAAGAAGGCACTGTATTTGGTGAGAAAGGTTGTGGCGCCAGAAGGAGTTAGGGCCGAAAACTACTGGAACATTCATGACCAGAGCATCAGGTTACCCTTCTGGGCAAAACTTCAGCGAAAAATTGAGTTTTGGGGTACTAGCTGCTGAATGGTACGTATTAAATATATAGGTATCCATTTTCAACAGGGCAGACAGTCGCACTTGTCTGTGGGGCTGGTTGACTGCCCCTTGCGTGAATACTACAAATCAAGCTGGCTTCATTTCGTAGTGTTTGAGAGGTTCTTCTTGCTTCATGCTTTACTGGCGATTTAAAATTCTGAACGTACCTGATCTAAAATGCAAATGAATGGTTTGTTCAGGGCAACCGGAATAGGTGAGGAGTACTTTACGATCTCTAGCGAGTCTTTTTCAGTACGTTTGGCGTTGAATCTACAAAGAGAGACATCAGAATGATGGGAGGTGTCCGGCTGAGCTGCGGGGGCTACAGTGGGCATTTTCCTAGTAAGCTGGCTTCTCTTCGTAGTTTCTTATAAATTACACGTTTTATCTTAACGAGACGTGCAAACTCTTGTCAAGCGTGAACGAAGATCGTGTTGTTGCATAGCTACAAGAGTTTACAGGCCTTTAAGAAGGAGACTGCCGCAATAGTCGAGAACCAGTGAAGTGCCCCCCCCCAAACCGAACAGCAGAACCACACCGAATTATGCTTTATATGTCTGAATAAATTATTAGTCCTTATGTAGGTACAGAATTCCCGACAAACAAAGAGCAACAACTGGCGATACTATTTCACTTACTTTATCTGACTTGGTCGGAAAATCAGTTTCAGACACCAATTGCCAAATTCACGTTTGGGGGGCGGCATCCCGTTCTTCCTTGCCCAAGAAGCTATCTCATCCAGTACTGGATTGACTGCCACCACACCTTTCATGCCGCGAAAACGAAACTGGAAGGAAAACGAGGCATAAATGGACCATAGGAAGACATCACAAAAAGGGCTGCAGTTCACCTGGTAACAACTTGGCACACAATTCCCTAAGGACATATCCTTGGCGATGGCTGCTGCGAACCCGTAACTTATCATACCTACTCCATCGCTGAATGTGTATGCCTCGCTGAAAATAACAACTGGATTACACAAAAACATTGCAGTAGGGCTGGCTGGAAGGCTCACAGGAGTCTACGTTCACATATAAGGATCGTCACATCATTAAAAGTGCGGCAGGATAAAATAGAAAACCGAGCATAGTAGTCCTTGCCATAAGCGTGCTGGTCCGCAGCCGTGGAACGGTGGCTCTTTTGTTACTCAAAAGTGTGGGGGCTAGAGGGGGTAGCAGCAACTGGATACCGTTTGCCACCTTACCCGTATTCAAAGCATGCACCACGTGACGAGCAGCCTAACGGCTCTATGCTTAGCAAGCCGAATTCTGTTGTTCTGCATGTATGTCCGCGGAAGCTTCGAAGTATGATAAAGGAAATGATAGAAGAAAACCATAGCAGGGGAAAACAGTGTCAATTTAAAGGCGGGGTATTAATCTACCGTAACGCTGCTATTGTGATTTCACCTTCTTTTGTTATGAAAGACATTCAGTGGGTAAGTTCGCAAACATTCTAACAGATGCTCCGAGGAAAGAAGACGAGGTGAGCGAAATTGATTTTGTTAAAAATAGCGGCGTGCACATGTGTGTGGAGGTGAAAAGGGTGTCGCGCAGGGCATACCATCATTGTGATGATCACAACAGGGGAGGAGCGTATTTGACCTCGAAGGAAGAGGGGGAGGGGGTCGTAAGCGCAGGGCCCTTTTTGAAGTGATGCAGCAATACTCAGATGTCGTTCAGCTTCAATGATGAAAGACTTATCCCTGTGAGAACCCCTGAAGAGACACACAAGATAGAAGCAACCTGCCAGCGCAGAAGTGGGGAACGGACGATGAGAGGAAATAAAATGGTCGCCCAAAACGACGTCATGAATTAATAAACAGATGAAAATACAGTTCCGGACTTTTCTATCGCAGAAGCACATCTATTTGCACGGCGGAAGCACTCATCAGAGGTTACACCTTAACAACACCTCTGCGTGAAAGCGCTATGCATGACGCACTGCAGAGGTGATGCCAATTGGTGCAACAAACTATTTCCTGATATCCTTAGCGAAAACATGCCTTTTTAGAAGCACACCAAAGTCTTTAAGCCAACTGGAGGTTTTATAGCGTCGGACGGGTTGGTTTTTTCTGTCGTCCGGCAGCGGTCGCGCTGTGATCGCAATGGGGAATTTTTTTTGAATAGCAGGCCTAGCGATAAAATAAAAGTCTTGCAGGAAAGTGGAAAGCTTCAGAAATCTGGCACTGTTCTTTTTCTTATGGAAGGCCCTCCATGAAGCTGTCATGGCTTTTCAAAGCGTAAGTACTTGTAAATGACCCCCCCCCATGATCACGACAGGATCACGAGCAAATTTCTTAAAAAGGATATTTTTTTGAAATCGCTCAATCTCAGGTAACAAGGGCTAAGCTAGTGCCTCACAGTCCTGTCTTCCCCTCTCCAAAAGCTCTACTCTCAAATAAGTTAGAAGTGAGGGGTACTTTTCGAGTGTCGGCTTAAAACTGGTTCGGGTCATAACAGTGCGCTCCAATACCTTTGTATGAGCGCGTTCACCTTTGAATGACTGCGAACAACTAATATTCGAGAGGTATTTCCCAGTGTTGGCTTCAAGCTCTCCTGGTGAGTTAGTTCTTTCTAGTCGTTTGTTTGCTAGTGTTTTTTGAGTTTCTTTTTTAGTTTCTTAGTAGTTTTCTAGTTTGTGTTCCTTTTTCGGCACTATCGGACTATTGCTACCCCAGTCTGCCAAAATCAGGCCGCTTTTTTATCGAATTTTTTCTAAAAGGTATAGAAGATTGGGCGATTGGTTAGCTGAAGATTTGTTTACAGTGGTACTTCGACCTCCTAAACCCGAGTATCACATCCGCTTCGCCCAAAACTTTGAATCGATTTGAGTGATTTCGGGGTATTTTGGCGCAGAACAGGGACCGGCGCCAAAATACCCTAAATCACCAAAACCGATTAAAACACGTTGCGGGGTTATTTGACATCCTGACTACGAATATGACATTTATTCTTATCGCCGGCGTTAACGTACGACACTATGGTCATCTGCGCTTTGCTAACAAGGGGAGGATGGCAGGTCGAGGTGGCCGTCTGAAATGAAATGTATACCGACTGAAGGGTCTTTGGAAGGGGATTACGAAACCGTCTTCCACACCTGCTCGGACCTCCCAGAACAAAATTATGGGGCCTTTTTAGGGGCAGCATAGTGGCATTCAGTACGAACTAGCGGCGTCAGGCCCCATCGCTCGAAGTAGCGTGGTCGAGTGGATACATTCTAGGTCTCTCGGTCACATTCTAGAGGATTTGGATCCTTGATGCGTTCTCCATTTTGCATTTTTTCTGCGAGGTCTCTATGCATTAAAAAGCACTTTTGCATAACTCTTGTGCTCGAGAATGACGCCAAAGAATGTTCCTGAACTAATGGAGCCATTGTGAACAACTTCATGCTGAACATTCTTTTCTGTTGAATTTGTCACACCAAGTCTGTCTACGGAGAAAAAACTCGGTCAGAAACTGGCTCGATCCCAGATGATTACGGCAATATAGGGATATAGTTGCCCAAGGAATGTTTAGCATGGAATCGTCCACAATGGCTCCGTTCGTTCAGAACTTTCTTTGGCGAAATTCTCAAAAAGAAAATGCAAAATGCTTTTTAATGCACAGAGACAAATGCAGAAAAAAAATGCAAAACAGAAAGCGCATAGAGGATCCAAACCATCGACAATGTGACCTATATGTTTTTTGAATTATCGTTGTTATTTTGCGTGCTATTCCTAATAAAATTTTAGGGGTTGGGACTGCAACGCTCTACTCCAATCGGTCACGCTGCTCCGAGCGATGAAGCTTCACGCCGATGATTCGTATTGAACGGCACTGTGCTCCCCCTTGAAAGGCCCCGTAACTTTGTTCTGGGAGGTCCGCAGCAGATAAGGAAGACGGTTTCGTAATCCCCGTTCAAAGGCCCTTCCGCCGGTATACATCTCATTTCAAATGGCAACTTCGACCTACCATCCTTCCCTTGTAAGACTGAGCCTGGCCTGAGGGGAATCTTTCCTTTCCCAGTTTCAGCCTAGCGCTGTTATGGAGAAATGACGTTATACTCGTGGTCAGGACATCGAATAACATCTATAGACAAAGTTTCAGCGAAAATTTTTCTGAGTTCTTGAGGAAGTAATAGTTCAGTAGTGCCTAGTTTTCTTTATTGACATTTCCTTCGTCCCATTTGCGCTTCTTTTCGTTTGTACCTTCGTGACAGGGGGTCGTATTGAGACCCTTATTTGGGGTGGAGGGGGGTCGCATTTAGCCGAATATGATCACGACGCAATGGGGTGCCCTGGTGCCGCGGTATCTGACACTGGGACAGACTGGTATGACTTACGAAATACAGTTTATGAAAAATCCAAAAGAACATTTCTTGATAGATGTGCAACCCGCGGGCTCAGCACTATTGAACCTTGAGATGGAAAGAGCTTTACAACGTCATGCTTCCCATTATTTCAACTTCCTTCAGAAAAATATACAAATAGCCTGTTTACTCAGGACAGGGCGAATCATTGTGTTGTGAGAGCTTTTTGCAGAATGCGAACCTTCAATTGGCTTCTTTGGTACGATCTCGTTCGCAGCATACATATGTATAGGGGCAGGAGGCAGAAAAAAGTCACTTCGACCGAGTTACATATCAGCAAAGTTTTAGCCGCCCAGAGAGAAGATGTGGATACGAGTACCGGGGCTAAGATACCCAAGATGTTCCTCGATATGCAGGACCTGACCCTCGGCCATCACCTTCACGTACACCAAAAAATGAGGTCATCTCCAGTCGCAGCCTGACTGGAGAAGACCTTTGGAATTCATGTCACCTCCAAACAGCTGCGGTACTTCGTGGAGCCACCCATGGTACCTGGAGACTAGTATTCCCAATCTGAAAGACCTCAAACATCGAGCAGCTCCGACAACGCCGCTACGGTCTAGAACATCATCTTCACCGCAGTCGTCAAGGACCGGAGGTACCTGGAATGGAAAGACCAATATTTTCTTCATGGACCCCGGACTGAAGATGAGCGCTGGCGGTTACATCGAGCAACTTGAGAAGAATATCCTTCCCACATTTCGCCGCCCCTACCTTCTTGGAAACTTTGTACTGCTACAGCATTGAGTGCCACCACATGGAATCGAAGGGCGTTGGAGAAACTCTCGCCTACTTGGAATGAAAGGGGGCTGAGTACCCAAAGAAGATGGTATATCCAAGTAGGTCACTTGACCTGAATCCCCTCAGTTACCCGGTTCGGGCGGAGTTCAACAGGGTGGTCTACGGTGGCGGAGAAATCGACTATCTCGCTGACCTCAGGCACCAAATCGCAGTTGCGTGCCAGAATCTCTCGCTGGCGCTCGTAAAGAAGGCTGTGGCGGAGTTTTATGATAGTATTTAATATGCTCTTTAATATGGTGGTAGAAATGTCCGATTACAATTTATAAATTGTAACTTATAGCGCCACGGAAGTCAATGAAGTAAAGTGACTTTTTTTGCCCCCCCCCCCTGTATATCAAATTGGATTTTTCCGATGAGCCGCCAGTCCAACAGGCTCCAGGCCGAGGTTCAAGTACGTCGCGGAAAATCGCCTAGTTGGTGCGACCTTCCTCTCTACCCGAGACAATGTCCATAAGACCCCTTCCCACACAGGTTATCGATGTATTTGCACAATATCTCCGGGGTGCGGCGCGTGCTGTGAGAACGGAGCGCTGTATAGCCCACTGGACTTCCCCTAAATGTAAGCTTCAGTCCTTCTCGAGTGCTGCACAACATCGCCAGGAACTTATTTTACAAGAAGCGATTAGCGGGATTTGTGGTTTCCAGGAATGGTCCACAACAAAACACTCAAATTATCAATAGGCTCTGGCGACTCCACGCGAGGGATAGCGCAGAAAAATTTTGATGAATGAGAGTTTTTTTAACCTTTCAACGGACACAACTTCATTTAGACACCACATAGATAAATCTTTGGAAATCATGTTTTAAAAAATGGAGGGTTTTCTCTCTCAAGCTGGCACACAGCTTTGTTGCAGGTAACAATAGCGGAAGTTCGGTTCTCGCAGAAAATGGTAAACGCAGACGCGACTTTTCACATTACAAGTGGTATAGCTTGGATTAAACGTAATGTAGAGCGGAAACCTATGCGATTGTAGGGCTAGAAGTCGCCTTTCTGACAAGAAAAATCTTGCGATGCCCTGAGTATAGTCGAAATCCCATCACGAAACCTCGGGAGCTAACCTCTTCGAACGTGATGTAACCAGGGATCAAAGCTCAAAGACGCTGATCACTCTATGGAGTGCGCTACGCATCATCTTTGTATCGTAACGACACAAAATACGAATCTGTCGAATGTGGATCTAACGACCCTCTTGGCCAACTAACGAGTTCATTCCCGTACAAACGTAACTCGTTGCTACATTGTGATTGCATTAAATTATTTTGTTATGAATTCTAACTCGACGGAGATGCCGTGCTGCAGAGCGAGGAACGGAAGGCAGGGGCAATGTTCCAATAAGGTTGCCATAATGCTCTGTTCATCACTGATACACACGCTACGCATAAGACCCCCATGTCGCAGACTCTGCGACGTATGCTTGACCCGATCTTGACACTTCAGTCAACTACCAACAGTGGTAAATGGGAAAAACAAACAATCCAAGAAATTTTTCTCCAGACCAGGTACTGTTGTATTGTAACCCCACCCCGCTCCCCTGCCCATTGTGTCTTACACAAGGATCATGTGCCCTAATTAAGAGATGAAAGATCTTCCGAAATATATCTCACTTTTTGTTGTTTCTTCCACCAATAATGTCGTAATCGGTGTAGTAATCCTTTCGCTCCAGTGTACTGTCTGTTTTCTGAAAATGATCCAGTTATGTTAGACGTAGTGGAGCTCATACTACAAAGATATACCCTGCTCTGCGTAAAACATTGCCCAAGACGCGCCATAAGTTTCGGAATGCTCTCCATGTCCTCGAACCTGAATAGATATTGATACCTTCCTTAGCTATCGCTTTCACCATAAATTCAACTGAGAAGTGTCAGGCACATTTCGCAAAAACCACCCTATTTTTCACATGTACAGCCAAAGGACCACACTATTCCACATATCCCGTCAGTATTCCTATGCTTCCAGGCAAAAATTGGCGCCGATTCGAAGGCTTGGGCGGCCCGGAACATGGTCCTTGTACTACGCGCGTAGGAAAGTACTACGCGCGTAGGGAACGCTTCTTTCGACATTGCACCCTCCTACGCAAGGAGCTAAGAACGCTCCCTAGATGGACCGATTCAAGAAACAACGTCGTTGGCTCGCTGCTCTTCTCTTTCCGCCTTTTTCCCTGCCCTAAAACGTCGTTCCCTGGCTCCGTCTAATACAGTGTTTTCAAAGAACGAGATGCGTTCGCCGACTTCAAGCCACATACATATTCCTGTGTTGACAGGGAGCTCCCCACTCCATAATCACAGAAAGAGTCCCCCTTAAGCTCAAAAGAGCGGAAAATGCAGAGACTGTTACTCAAGAAAGCAACGCTATTTACCAGTTGGCTGCATTCCCCCCTCCCAGATATGAACAATGATGATGACTACGTAGAACGGTGTCGGTAGCATAGTTTGCCTCCCTTTCCTCTCTTCTTTTGGTCACCCGTGTTCACAGTGTGCCTTTACCCCTTTCTCAAAGGTTTATAATGAGAAGTTGCATGAAAATCTCGCCTTCCTAGATTTTTACGGGCATTATCAATCAGCGGTTGCCAATCAAGCGGTGGATCACGATTTTCTCTTTCTGTGTATTCTTTGAGTTGGCCACGGGAGTATTTCTCCATAAAGTATGCTCCAGAATCCCTCATTTGCGAATTCGAACTACCCAAATAGCCAAACCAACGATCTGAAAAGTTGGAAACATTTCACGTTTCCAGCACGATAAACAATGAGTTTCAAGGCCGCAACGAAAAAAAAACTGACCCGCCACGTACACACCGCACCTCAAAATATGACCTAGCCTCTTCTCAATAAGCTTTTTTGTAGTTGTTGATGTCCACATTGGTCCATTGTCATCGTCCCTAAACCACTTCTAACTTGTATAATATGAACATTTATTTCAGAAAATTCAACTTAAAAAGGAATATTATACGTGTACCTTTGGGGTCCTTTCCGTGTATATGGAGGTCGGCTCTGCGGCCGCAGAAGTGGGCCGCTTTAATACTACAAGTTGCGCGGCGATGGAGCTTATGACAGTTTGATGTTCCTTATGTTTCCGTTCATGGTGCCGAAAGCCATACGGCTGAGCGATACGTGCTGCATGGAGGCGCTCTCCACCCATACAGTGTTAGGAAGGAGAGGGGGGAGTTAGCCGAGAATAGTGTGTGGCCTGTTGGGATTGACCTTGAGGTTTCATTTACGGAATCACCCTTGGAAGTGGATTTGCCAGCCCCAATCGAACTTACGGAACACCATATTGGTGAGAGTCGAATAACACACTACGTAGCCGTATGGCGTACCCTGTGGAGAGCGGAGACACAGAAACATGAAGCTATCGCAAGCATCTATATCTCAGAGGCAAAACCTAAGCGTTGCTTTTGGTTATCGTCAAAGACGATCGGGGGCAACCAGGCTAGTCCGAAAAGACCTACAATGTGTTAAAGACCCGCATTGCGACGCTGAACGTTGGCGCGTTGACTGGACGCTCGTATGAGTTGGCAGAAGCCCTAGAGCGTAGAAAGATCGACCTCTGTGGCAAGTCGAAAGATTTAGGCAGCGGCTTCAGAAGCCGTTCTTATTTCAATTGATCATGATCACCGGACGAGCGTAAGGTGGTCAAGATCGATTGTGGATGGCAAAAGGAGGCGAGACACTGATAAGAGACGAGAGAGGCCAGAGAACGACGAGCGAGAGAGCACAATGGCAATGTCACAACGACACGATCACCGGAGGCCGGCATGGGCCTATCGGGCGCCAATGGGCCTAAAACATGAGCGCCGTGCGTTCTGCTTGCTGTTTTTCAACTTTTAAAAGCAGCAGAGCCTCTGACGTTGCTTGCTTGACCGTCGGGCACGATTATGAGAACCTAGCCTTAGTTTATCGCGGAACGTGCCTTTAAGGCGGGCCGAAAACTACAAGTGGTGTAGCCGTGATCGTGTCTCAGCGATTCCGCGATTCGATTATGAGCGTAGTTCGCTTCGACGACCGCTTAATGAAGATTGTTGTCGCTATTGAACAACGACTGTGCCACTTCTTCTCTGCATATGCCCCACAAATTGGATGCTCTGAGCAGTCCAAGGACGAGTTATGGGCTCTGCTGGACGAGAAGTCGGCTGAAGTGCCACCACAAGACGGTATCATTGTAGCCGGCGATTTGAACGGACACGTGGGCGCTGCAAAAGACGGCTATGCTTGTCATGGCGGACTCGGCTACGGTTCACGGAACGCCGATGGTGAGCGAGTCCTTGAGTTTGCAGAGTCGCATAATCTCGTCATTCTGAACACGAAGTTTCGTAAGCGTGACTCCCATCTCATCACGTTCTACAGCGGGAGTACCAAGACACAAATAGACTTTGTGCTCATCAGGCATGGCGACCAAGGACTCGTGACGGACGCTAAGGTAGTACCGTATGAAACGGTTGCCACGCAGCACCGCCACTGATCTGCACGCTCAAACTTGTAGCTCCCAGACAGGCAGTCAGAACGATGCGGTCCTGCGAGAACAAAATGGTGGCGACTAAAAGAGCGGGAGGCAGCTGTG